TTTCATCCGCATGCATTTTTAACTAATCATTTAGTCACGGAGTTAGTAGAGCACGCTGAACGTGTCAATCTTTCATCGTGTTTTACTCGAATATGGAATTACCACAAAATATAAACCAGATTTACAAGAGGTGACTACTGACTCTTTTTAAACCAAGCTGTTTTTTTTAAATTTTATTTTATTTTTTTATTTTAAAGGATAGAATTGTTTTACACCGCAAGTTAATACTTTTCGTGATAAAAGCTAAAAATCGGTCTCCGCACCAGAGACGAGGTAGCATAAGGCGCCAAGTTCTTACTCAAGATCTGGCTACCTCAATCGGCTTTTCATTATTAAAAGTTCTCAAGGATACGTATAGTTGTCGTACAGTACGTTAAAGACATCTCTAATCTCTCACTTTTTTGCTTCATTAGTTTCCAAGAAACGGTTGTGAATATATGGAAGTCATATATTTGAACTGCGGTTAAATGAATGAAAGCGATCTTAGCAGTAATGAACACTACTTAAGTAGTAGTGAAAAGAAGGCCTGAAAAAAATTCAGGCCTGTACGGGATTTGAACCCATGACTTCTGCGATACCGGTGCAGTGTGAAAATAGAAAAAATCACAACTTTTTTCCAAACATCTCTCCTACTGGAAGCCCCTGGGTTTTTAGGCCAAATCCTTCCAGACCTTAGTTACCGGTCATAATTTATCGCCCAAGTGACGAAGGGGTGGAGTCAGAGGATTTGAGTTGTGTTGCAATAAATTTAACTGATCCCCTGTATGAATCGCTACAAAAAATATGGTCTTGCGTGAGGGGAAAAACTCGATGAAAGGTGAATTTAAATGGAATTTTGAACGATTGAAATCAGATTTCTGGTAAATTGCAAAACTGTGATTTAAATATAAAGGTATACTTTTCCTTCTAAACAACCTTTCGTGCAAAATATTTTCAGATTAATATTATCATCTTGGACTGGGAGATGATATGGTCGCAGTTAATTAATATCTGTGAGGCACGGGTTCGAATCCCGTCTGAGCCTTCATGTTTTTTAAGGCTTCTTTTTTACAATCGGCTGAATTGCAGCTCATCCGCAAGAACCAAGACTTTAATTTATTTTCAATTTGTAGGTCAAAAAAAATTTATTTCATTGTAAAGAAAAATGAACCTTCGTTTTCGACAATAAATTGTTTTTAAGTGATTTACTGGACGCACTTTAAAAAAATGCTTCCAGTATAATGAGCCCAATATTCCCGTTTGACCTAACAAAATGCTTGGATGTGTGTTACACCTTCAATTTGTTATAGATTGCCCCAGCATGGGGGGTGTTAAATAGATGTGGCGCCCATTTCTGCTTTCGTAGTGTTTCCCCTTTTGCAACATGGTGTCAGAAGTGAGATTCCAATCGGAAATTGGTAAATTGCAGCTCACCAGCGAGGATCATGCCTTTCTGTGATTTTACATCGGCAGCTCCAAACAAATAATTTTTTTTAGAAAAACATCGCTTAAACTTGCGCAAAGAAGAGAACCTTAGTGCTTGACAATATAATGTTTGTAAATGATTCAAGTGTGATAAACAAAATATCCTTTTTTGACCTAACAACGTGTTCTCAAAGTGGGAGGGGAGAGGTGGGAATGTTTATTTTGAGCATTCATTGTATGAAGAAAGGCCTGACCTCAACAAATATGATCTTGCGTGAGGGGAAAAATCCATGAAAGGTGAATCTAAATGGAATTTTGAACGATTGAGATCGGATTTCTGTTAAATTGCAAAACTTTCATTTGAAGATAAAGGTATACTTCTCTTTCTAAACATCACTTTTTGTAAAATATTTTGAGATTCATATCATCATCTTGGACTGGGAGATAATATGGTCGCGGTTAATTAATATCTGGGAGGCACGGGTTCGAATCCCGTCCACGCCTTCATCTTTTTAAGGCTTTGGGAAAAAGTTATAACAGAGAAAATACGTCACAGCCTGTATCGGACTAGCTAAACAAAGTAGGAGCCTAGCGTACTGCAATAAGTGTGCGGACTAGTTAATATCAGGGATAAACAACGACAGACTGATGTCAAAACTGCAAAATACGGGCCGCAGAGATAAAACAACGAAGGGCATGAAAGAGTGCTGTGCGAGAATCGGACACTTCCAGCACATGTCAAATGGGAGTACCCTCTTTAGCCATACCCACTGAGGCACCAAACCCCAGGCACACCATCTTGATGCCAGTTCAGGGAAGAGTATGAACTTGATATCTTTGCAGTTGATATCAAACCAGAAATACATGCCCAAACTGTCTACAACACCTCACAAAATCCAAGAGGCGCGGCCCTGGGGGGTAAGTTGTCCAGCCCCTTGGAACTGGGTGTGACTAAGGACATAAACAAATCAATCATGGTTACATATTGCCTCCACATGCAACACACTGCCGGATGAAATTGCTCAATCGTCGATCCCTCTAGGGCAGACGATCAAAACTATTTCACCCACAGCAAAGCAACCTTATTCACTAATGAAAACTCTAACCTCAAACCTATGGGTAAAAGGCAAGCCACTTCACCTTTTTTTAGCTCAGACTATGCAAAGCTGACACTGGTTAAGATCCCTGCAGATGAAGTCCATTGACGTGGAACATCACATAGTACCGGAACACTCTCAAACCCCTATCCTGAAGCCTCAGAACAGCTGCCAACAGCCGAGATCTCGCACGCCCGAGACATCCCTTTGCCACCGGGACCGATACTTGCACCACACACGTTTGATTTTTTTTCGCATGCAAAGATATCGTTTCCATCCCGCCCTGCTACGATCACTCTGGAGTGGGATATTAAAGCATTTCCAGATTTGCATAGTGTGGGGGCCTTTCACTTTAATTTAGACCCGCTAGTCACACTAGCCTGTGACGCTATTTACAGGCAGCCGCTAGCAAGACATACCAAAATCAAAGAGCAGTTGGACAAGATATGCCGAAAGTCCGAGCCAAAAGCTTGGTGCAGTTACATGACTATAAAAGAGCCCAAGTTTGTCTAAACAATATTTAAAAATTATTATGAAGTACTTAACCGAACAAAAATGTAGCAAATAAATAAATAAATAATAAATAAATAATAATAATAATAAAAGCAAAATTGTTTCCAGATTCTTCGACTCCTCCCACGTTGGGAGCGAGGTAACTCTTACTGGGATCAAAGAACGAGTATTTTTCTCCTTTTTTCCCGGACTGTTCTGTAAATGCCAAAATTTTAGCTCACCTGCGTTTGTCATGGCTCTATTTGATTTATCTCATTGCAAAATGCATAAGTTTTCTCCAAAAAAAAGATGAATCTTCCAAAATTTTCCTCAATCATAACGTGTGGCTTTGAAGCTCAGTTTGTAGCATCGCCCAATTAGTATCTGGGTGGCATGGGTTCAAATCCCGTCCTAGCCTTAATTTGTTTTTTACAGTCAACTTTTCTGCAATTGGTAAAATTGCAGCTCACCTGCGAGGATCATGTCTAAATTTGATTTTAATCCATAATTCAAAAGAAACTTATTTCGTTACAAATTCATATCGAAAAGTCGCGTAGAAAAATGAGCCTTCGCTTCGAAAATAAAATGTTTTTAAATGTTTTTAAATGTTTTTAAATGTTTTGTTATACGCACTTAAAAAAAATATTTGAAGGACAATGATTAGAACATAACTGAAGCAAATATTAAAGAGCTATGGAGTGTCCTATCAAAGTAAATAGGTATAAGGGCGGGAGAGTTGACGTTTATATGTGTGGCTCAGCTGGCAGTAGTGTTCCGGGTGGCCTGGGTTCAAATCCCGTCCGAGCCTGAAATTTTCTCTGTCTTCTTTTCTGCTGTTGGTAAAATTGCAGCTCGCCTGCGACGATCAATGCTTTTTTTTAATTTTACATCGGCAACTCCAAAGAAATTATTATTGTTTACAAATACACAACTTAAACTTGCGCAAAGAAGAGAACCTTTGTTTTGACAATATACTGTTTGTAAATGATTGAAGAATAATCAACAAAATATCGCTGTCTGACCTTACCAAGTTTCCTCAAAGTGGGAGGGGAGGTGAGAATGTTTATTTAGAGCATTCATTCAAGTCCGAGTTGATTACTTTTTTTTCTTAATGATTGCTTGCGTTAGGGGAAAGGCTCCGTTAAAGGTTAATTTAAATGGTATTAGAAACGATTGAAATCGGATTTCTGGTTAATTGTAAAACTGTGAAATAATAATGAAGGTAAACTTTTTAAAAATATTTTGAGATTTGTATTATGATTTCGGTTTGGGTGATGATATGGTCTCACAAAATTAGATGAACATAGCGTAATTGGCATCCGTCTTACCATTTTCTTTTTAAACAGAAGGATTTATAGTAATCCCAATAGGATTTCTATTAACATTTGAACAGTTGGGATATAGGATTTGAATCCTGCCACCTCAGTTTTAACAATTTTAATGCTTCAAAGGTGTGATAGGATCTCTATTAGTCCCTTACAAATATGTGTGGTGCAACACGAAAAGAATGTTTTTCCACTAACAACTTTTGCAGCCTGACAAATGGAGTAATCAATCACCACTTGATTTCTGGATGTTGTTTTTGTGTAAAAAATTTATAGCTATTTTAATACCTTTTCCTAAGAACAATTCATTGTAACGGGTCAGAAATATGTGCTCGCATATGCAAACAAAATACGTGCCCGAAAAAGACGGAACTGGTAACCAGCGATGGTTAAGAAATCTTAGTGAAGTAACCGGTGAAATTGATTCTCGCTGCTGTTTAACTCACACGCTCTAAAACCCATGCAGCTCTCTTTTACTAGCATATTATGTTTGTTAAAGAGTTTGAATACGCTTATGCTCATCTTTCATTAATAAAAGTAGAAATTTTCTAACTCTAACTGGAGCAAGAAATCAAAGGACGAGCATCATCGGAGTTAACAAGAGTGCACTGTAAATAACGAGGTTTCAAGGTCTTATCCGAGACGATCCGTTAAACGTTAAATTATGAATCGAATGTGTTACTTACAGCTGAGTCAGCTCGGAGTTGTTATCGAAGACTCTTGGTGGTAGCTCCTTGATTTGGTTTCGATGTAAGTACCTATGAAATGGACATATCATTGAATATAAGACCTCATCTTCATGGGTAAACATGATTCTGAGGTGCATCATCTCCTTTTGAAAATTTTCTATTTAAATTGAGTTAGTAAAATTAAACTGGATATGGGTCCAAATATGATTTAAAATATGTTGTGAAATCTCTTAATAAACAAAAATGTAGCAAATTTGGGAGCAAGGCAAAGTTTAGAGGTTCAGAGAATGTTTTTTTTTTTTTTATTTTAGATTCCTTTTCGGCAAGTGCTAAAATTTTAGCTCACCTGCAGGTAACATAGGTTTAGTTGATTTTCAATGCAGCCGATCATATGGACCAGTGGGCAATTAAAATTTAGAGCCGAGTTTTGGTAAATACGCGATGTGAGATGTTCGACTTTGATCTCAGTATTACGAACTAACAATATGTTCTTAAAGTGGGAGGGGAAGTGGGAAGGAGGAGGTTGGAATTTGTTGATTTTGTTACTTGTTGACTTGAATTTCCTCTCGACTGGTTGAGTTTTGAACTCTCCATCTCTCCATCTCTCCATCTCTCTGAACCCTTTTTTTGAAGCTGGTGGGATTAATAAAAAAATTTAAAATCCCTCGAGACCTTCGTCACCGGTCATAATTTATCGCCTGAGTTGGCGAAAGGGAGGAGTCAGAGGATTTGGGTTGTGTTGCGATAAAATTTAACAGATCCTCTGTATGAGTCGTTACAAAAAATGTGGTCTTGTGCGTGGGGAAAAACTCCATGAAACGTGAATTTAAATGGGATTTTGAACGATTGAAATTGGATTTCTGATACCAAACCCCAGGCACACCATCTTACTGCCAGTTCAGGGGAAGAGCATGAAATTGATCTCTTTACAGTTGATATCAAACCAGAAGTACATGCTCAAACTGTCTACAACAAAAAATCCAAGAGGCGCGGCCCTGGGGCGTAAATTGTCCAGCCCCTTGGAACTGGGTGTGACCAAGGACATAAACAAAGCAATCATGGTGCAGTTACATACTGCCTCCACATGCAACACACTGCCAGATGAAATTGCTCAATCGTTGATCCCTATAGGGCGGACGAAATAAACTATCTCCTCACAACAAGGCAACCTTATTCACCTATGAAAACTCTTAGCTCAAACCAATGGGTAAAAGGTGAGCCACCTCTCCTTTCTAGCTCAGAATGTGCAAAGCTGGCACTGGTTAAGATCCTGCAGACGAATTCCATTGACGTGGAACATCACATAGTACCGGAACACTCTCAAATCCCCATCTTGACGCCTCAGAACAGCTGCCAACAGCCGAGATCTCGCACGCCTGAGACATCCCTTTGCCACCGAAACCGATACTTGCACCACACATATTTGATTCTTTCGCATCCAAACATACCGTTTCCATCCCGCCCTGCTACGATCACGCTGGAATGGGTTCTTAAGAGAGGATGTCAGCATCCATCAGACAAATTTGAAATATTATGGCAAGTCGCCCAAAATTCGTTTTCACTATATATGCCCATGTTCGTCAAAAATCTTACGAATAATTGTGAATCAATTATCTTAGTACACATGTTTAATGTGCATACTGAGCTAGTAAAATGATTTGTGTTATGTATACGTTTTTCAAACTCACACTTGCAGGTGCGTGTAATGACACGCAGTTTGCGTGTTGCGCGCGTGCAGCCTTTTAACTGCATACATTTTAAACTGAATATTTATTCATGGAGCTGGTAAAGCACGCAAAAAGTGTCAATTCCTACTAGAATATAGAATTATCAAAAAAGTATAGACTAGAGTTAGAAGGGGGGACGACTAACTCTGTGTATTAACCAAGCTGTTTTTTAAAGGATAAAGTTATTTTTCACCCTAATTCATTGGATTTTGCGCTAAAAGCTCATAAATCGGTCTCCCCAGAGAAAACGCACATCACTTCACTTACGACTAAAAGGAATACATAAGTGTCACGCAAACCAAAAAAAGGGCAAGTTTAGAGACAAGATAGGATAAGATGGAAAGTTCTCACTCAAGATGGCTACACTAATCGGCTTTTCATTATTAAAAGTTCTAAAGGATATATATAGTTGCCATACATCATTGATCTTCCACCATTCAGCTTCACTAGTTTTCCAAAATAACCAAGCGATGTTGACGGGTAAACGAAAACTAAACAACGCAGATCACAGATCCATAGGGCAATTTTATTAACATGGGCTTTTCTTTCCTTAGCGTTTTCACAATGTTCACGCAACGCTATGGTTCATTCAACAACTTTTGAAATAAAATCTTACTCAAGGTGCCGGCTTGGCAAAACCGATCTGCACTGAAGTAAAAAGTCTGTTCAAAAAAATATACAGACGAAGGCAATCTCGAACGCGCTAGGCTTCTAGGCAGTATGAAACGATGCCTTTGAATGATATAGGGTAGTGATAAATTTGACGCGATCGTCAATTCGATAAACCGAAAAAAAGCACTGACTATATGGTTACTTGACTAAACCTCGGCTGCAAGACGGCTGAAGACACTTCACAACCAAACTCTACTTAAACTCAACTCTGTTTTCAAACGCTTTTGCATTATGGTCTGAGGAAATAATTATAGAGGGGTTAATTTCATATCATGAAACATTCAGACGAAGAGACGAAGAGGGGCGAGATCGCGAGAGGTTAAAAAGACCAATACCCGCAATATCATTTTGACAAATTTACCCTCTTAAAACAGACTAGTAGCGTATGTAGAATGGACAAAATTCTGTGAAATTGGCCGAATGAACAAAAGGAACCTTTGTCAATTTTTTTTTTCTTTTTCTTTTTTCTTTTTTTTTTTTTTTCATGCAATACCTTCCACCTAGCTGACTCGGAAGAGTAACTCAACGGCAACTTTTCAATTCTCGAACTACTCGGCATATCGATTGTCATAAAAATATAAGGAATGCAGGAAACTGCCGACGTACTTTGAGAGAGTGATCTCTTGTGACTGGCATTGTGTTATTTCATATTTCTGTTTGCCAACTTCGTTCACCTCAAAAGGGAAATAGTAAAACAGATTTTACTTCTATCGAATTCAGCATCTAACAACTTCGTTTCCTTGCCTGGCGAAAAAGGCATATTTCACGCATATACTGCACATGCCGGTGCGAAACGTGGTTTCGCTTAATGGGTCGAGGAATACCATTTGTTTCACGTGATCCGCCCTTGAAATGAGTCCTTTTGCTTCATGGCTTTACAAACGAGGCATATTTTTCGTAAGCTGCATCCAATGTTTCTGCGGTAAGCGCCGTTTTGTTTAAATGTTTGGAAGAACACAATATAAATCAAGTCATCCCCGCTTGAAATTGGCTGCTTTGCTTCAGGGCTTTAAGAAAGAGGCATATTTCCCGTATACTGGACTTTATATTTCTGTGTAAAGCGTATTTTTGCTTTAAGGGTTGAAGAACGAGATTTGAAGTCATCCGCGCTTGAAGAACGAGGTATCTTTCAAGTCCTTCGCGTTTGTTATGGGCTGTTCCGCTCCATGGCTTTAAAATCGATGCATATTTAGCCATATACCACGCTTGCTGCATTTGTCTACGTAAAGCGCCGTAAGTCGCTGCAAGTCACTGCGCTTGATATAAGCTGCTTTGCTTCATGGCCTAAAAAACGAGGCATTTCCACGTACACTACATTTTGACATCGTTTAAGTAGAAAAGCGAGATGTATTTTTCGTTGTCCGCGCTTGAAATGAGCTGCCTCTTTTGATGAGAAATCAAAAGATATATACAATTGAAGTTTGTTTATTTTTCTACACATATTAAATTCAAATTTCTTGTCCATCTTTTTGGTAGATTACGTCTCTTTAAGCCTTTTGGAAGCTTGTTGGAGTTATAACAATGGGGATGCGATTTCTCTTAAAATTTGGAACCGCGAATCGTTAAATATACCAACTGGGATATGGGGTTTGGATCTTGCCATCTGAATTGTAAACTGACCCTCTGCTAAGCATGGGGACTTCTTAAAAGGTTGTTTACTTACAGTCGAATCAACTTGGTGTTGTAGTTGAAGACTCCACGTGGCAGTTCTGCTATCTGATTGTCATATAAGTACCTACATAAACGATATACCAAGAATCATTGGCTTATGTTGACATTAGAAGATGCTCTGGGTTAGACATAGAACAGAGACAATAGCATTTTTTTTATAAGTGGATGATGATTACTAATGGGATTGTTCTCATCAACATAACTGTTTTTATTCTTGCATCTTGCGTGTGCTCAACCTGGTTGTTTGTTGAAAGTCTTACCACAGTCTTGCTGATTATGAAGTAAGATGATGCTACACGTGATAGTGTAAACCAGTTATGTAAAGGCTTGATTTTTATCAACTTTAATGACTCAAGTCATTAATTAGTATTGGGTCGTCATTGGTACCACGCAGATATAATCGAAAGGCTATGAAGTGTCCTAGCAGAGTAAATAGGCATTGAGGTAAGAGGACTGAGGTTTATTTATTCTGCATGGGAAAAGAGCGAATCTAGGGGCTAGGAATGAGAGTTACCACCTAGTGCGAATAAGAGTAGTACCTCTAAACATCTTTTAAAAAGTTTTTGAAGTCCTTTAATGCAGCTGAAGCTGCATGGAGCTGGAGCTTGGAGAACTATGATTCTTTAAAGAATTTGAAAAAGATCATTCTTTCGAATGGCTGAGTTTCTCTAAGCAAAAAGTATAATTTGATCAATTTTTATATTGCTTGCGTCAAGGGAAAATACCCCGTGAAAGGTGTTCATCTGACTTGTTTTGAAACTTTTGAAAGGGATAAGTTATGACTGAGATCGGGTTTCTCTAAAAAAAAAAGGGACCTTGACTTGAAGATTAAGGTAAATTTCTCTCTCTGGACAATTCTAAATGTATTAGGATTGGTAAAGGGAATCTAAAACGTTTACCAGTTTGTACTCTCTTGGATTGATATTATGACATTAGACTACGTGATGGTATGGGCTGAATAAATTAGATTAATATAACGTAAAAAGTGTTCCTCCGACTTTTTTTTTGGAAAGCAATAGGATTGATGACAATTGGATAGAATTTCTATCAAAGTTTGGAAACTGGGGTTTGGTAAATATGCGAACTGGGACAGAGAATTTCAACCCCGCCGTTGCAACCACGATTTTTTAGCGTGTGATAGGATCCGTTTTAGTAATTTTAAATTTACAACGCTTGCGGGTTGATCAACGCAATTTCTTGATGCTGTTTCTGAGTGAAAATTTTCAGGTGTTTTGAAATCTGAGAATAAATTATTGTTACCAGTCATGAGGATGTGCTCGCATAGGCAAACGGGATAGATACTAGAAGGCGGAATTCGTCATCAGTAACAGTTAAGAAATTCTCTTTAAGTAACTGATAAAAAAAGATATTTGAATCTGTTTTAACTCGAAGGTTCTACGATTGATGCCACTCTCTCTTACTCGCATATTGTGGCTGTCGAACGGCCCCTGAGTTTAAATACCCGTACGCTCAGTTTTAGAGAAAAAGGATAATTTTACCAACTCTATATGGAGCAAACTCAAACAAAGAGCTCAATACCAGAGTCAAGGAGATTAAACTGTATTAAGGTGATTTTCAGATCATATCAAACACAATTTAATATATAAACTTATTAATCTGTTACTTACAGGTAAAACAACTCGGAATTGTTTTTAAAGACTCCGGGTGGTAGCTCCTTGATTTGGTTTCCATTTAAATACCTAAGAAATGAACATAACTTAATTTAGGATCTCTCTCATTCATTGGTAATTATGATTCCTAGAGTAAGTAAAAGTTAAGCAATATTTTTTCTTTGCAGCCGTTTTCATTTTTGAGAAAACGTCCATGAGATGACGGATAAATCGTATTTTTCTCACTATCTTTTTTTGTATCTTCGTTGAATGAAGAACTGAAAATGGGTAAAAACATCGTAAATAGTGCTATAGAGTCCCTTACCGAACAAAAATAAAGCACATTAATCAGCTCATAAAATTTTAACAGACCTAAATGGTTTGGAAAGTACATCTGTGGAAATAGAAATTAACTCTTAACTTCTTTCCAGACTCCTCTCCTTCTGAAGAAGACCCTGGGAGTTAAAGCGAAAGCTCTCGAGACCTTAGAAACCGGTCATCATTTATCCTCTGGGTGGGCGGGGGGCAGGGGTCAGAGAATTTTGTTTGTGTCATTATAAAATTCAACTGATCCCCCATAAGGCTATGCAGGTAGTCTAGGCAATTTTATGCAGTCAATTTTGGTAGTCCCCCCTTTAAACCTAATGGATGATGACTGATCCCACCTGGCTCCTTTGTTCCTCGAAGCTCTCAGTTTCCCTCGAGCGTCGTGCTCTGTCTGCGGACAATTATTTGGGCATATTTTGGATACTGGTGTGCTGAAGTATGATTTGGTTGTTAACTAGAGGGTCATCTCTGTTTTTCTATTGAAGACTCCAGCTGGTGGCTGCTTCATCTGATTCTTTTCTAAGCTCCTGAGAAAAGGTTGTTACTTAACTCTCAGATGAAAAAAGGAAAATACTTAGTTGACGGCCATTGAACTTGTTATCTGTGTCAAAGGTTGACTCGCTGAGTTAGTCGTACATATATCTGAACGTGGTTTTCTTGTAATTGGCCTGTGTAACATGGGAATATTTAAGGGTTGTAACTTACAGCATTCGCAGCTTGACCAACTGAGAAAATGAGTCATCTCGTAACTTCCTGATCTTGTTCCTGCGTAGCCATCTAAAGGAGTTGAAACTTTGTTTAGCCACCACACAAGAGAGTATTACTGCTGTGTTGGTAAAGAGAGGAAAGAGGCGGGAGGGGTGGGCGACGCTATACAGCTAAAGCGAGAAAATCTGCGAGGAGGATCACCTTCCGTATTCTCCCTGCCTCATTTTATCACAATGGCCGAACAGGATATGTAGCGTATGTAAATAGGACGAATACAAAAACAAACAAACAAACAATCAAAACTGCACAGAGATAGCAAATGAAATTGTTGCATCTAGATCACCAACATCCTGTGATAGCCTTGTTTTGGTTACCTCCATCTATTCAACATTGCCAATCAACAAACCAACCCCCCCTGTTTTACTGCCATGGCTCATAACTGACTACACCCACCAAGCGTCAGACATTAAGCAATACGTAACTCATTGCGCGTCATTATCAACATAAGCATATATATTGTCTACTCACAAGATGGCCAACTCGGTGTTGTTATCGAAGACTCCAGGTGGGAGCTCCTCTATTTGGTTGTCATCCAAATTCCTGAATGGGGGATTAGTATCCTTGAGTAAAGTCGACCGTTTCAAGTTCGTGTATTCCTTTCCCCTCGCCCCCATCCTCCCCCCCAACCTATCAAAAAAAAGAAGAACTGATACTTACAATTTCTCCGTAGAAAAGGGCAAGTGACGTGGAACAGACTGTAAACGTTTTCTTTCACATTCAACGCGGGTAACGGCGCGCATAATTCCAACTGCCGTGGTACACCGGCAGGGATCTGGACACCCTAGAAAGAAAGGAAAAAGATATGCTTTTATCATCGTATCGTTTGAGGTAAGTTAGTGAATACCTGTTTGTCTATTTTGTCGGAAATGCTGCAGGAGTGCATTTGAGTCCTCTGAAAAAGCCTCAAAGTTCCTCATGAACACTCAATACTAAAGCGGGTAAGTTCCAAGAGAATCTGTGGTGCTGCGTCTGTCGCTCTGACGAAGGGCTAAAGCTCGAAACGTAAGCTTTCAAACTCTTCACGGTGGCCACTTTACGACATCAACTCAGTTGATAATACTAGATTACCCTGTAACAGTCAATAACAATCCAGTCTAAGGCAAGAGAATTTTATGCTGGATCAACAAAACTATTGTGTCAGCCTTTTAGGTGCGAAGACAGGTTAAAAAGCGTTAGGATTTGTTAATTTACTACCAATGTATAGAAACTCTGCAATTTGCGATATATTTCCCTCCTAGCCTTATTAGGTTAAGAATCACATTTTTATAACTAAAACTCACTCTCGATGACAAGACGGATTCGTTTCTTGTCAAAAACTTCCTGTGTGTTCACCTCACAACTGTAATCGTCATTGTTTTCTCCAGTGATGTTCAGCTTATACTGTACACTTGTACTGTTCTGTACCACAGTGCCGTTCTTTCTCCAAACAATGACCGGCGCCGGTGCTCCTTTTGCTGGACACCAAAGAGATGAGGAATGATTGAGAAGAACGAACTGAGTCTCGGCCACTTTATCAAGGTTGGGTTTGACTGGAAAAAAATAAAAAAATAATTATTCTTCGCAATTACAAAAGCAGTTGAGTACAAGAAGCACTAGCTATGGCCATTTTTCTTTTATCAGAGGTGTAAAACTCCCCAAATGCACATTGTGTCTTTCAGTGGGTTAAAAAAATTCATTTAGTCAATACTTGCCTGTTGCATTAGCTGTTTTGTTACTGTACGAACCGCTGAAATGGTAATTGAATGTATCTGATTTTCTCAACCACAAGCTCTGTCCGCTGGATCGCACAACACCAGAAATGTTTCTCCCACAAAATACACCAAGAATACTGGAAGACTTGTTGTATCCATCGCGAACCTCAAGGTACATGTCATCAATGCATGGTGTTGGATTTGAAGTCTTCAAGGAGAAACTCAGTTCCACATAATGTCCTTTTGGAGCTTGCAAGAGTTGAGTTGCGTGAAACGATGGGACAACTCTCTGAGGGCGTACTTCCACTATTAATGCAACTGCTTGTAAAATCAAGAGAAAATGGGAGTACACTTCACCAATTCAATTGAAACAGAGCATCTCGAGTGGAAGCTTGTTTTCAAAGACGTTTATGGAAACGCTAAAGTTGAAATGACGTTTCTATTAAAAGCTATATACGTTAGACACCGCGGAGACTTGTTATATGAAAACTATATGGAAGAGACATCACATAGTGCTGAGCAAAAGGGGACAATAGAGGAAACTGTATCAACAGTATCACACATTCAAAAGGATAAAGGAAGCTTTAGACTTAACCCTTCCCGTGTATACATAAATTTTAATCTAATATAGACCTCATTCGGCATGAAGTCTTCAACTGAAACTCTTTCGACTGCTTAGCGTTCACCTCATTTTACTGGACGTGTGTAATTTAGACCGGTGAGAATTCAACAACAGAGAGCCTGCATTTTTTTAATTTCTCTTCGATTTTTGAGTGATGAAATACGCCTCCTTTACTTTTGGAATTGCCAATAGCTGATATGATTTGTGGTCTCTTTTACAGACGGCTCTGCTTAGGTCGATAACCAACCGCTCTTCGAGAAAGGAGGCAAAGCTCCTCTCTCAAATAGACCGCTGACCATGTAAACATTGCCTCTCTTTGTTCTCCACTTATCAGAAGCCAGTGCATGCTCAAATAACAAATCAATATTTGCAAGTTTCGAAATTTCCGAATTTTCTGTGGTTGAAAAAAGAATTTCAAATGGCTTTGACCAAGTTTACGGTCAACATTCCGAGATTATTACATCTTATAGCGATTTTGAAATTGGCCAACGGTGAATAGTGTTCGTACTTAAGCGGATTACTCGCTGATGCTTTGAAACCTAACATGATCTGTAGATATTCAGAGATATCTAGACGGCATTGACGTCATTAACTTCCTTGTTTTGAATTTTAAGCACTCAAATTAAATATGCCGATTTCAGCATCGTGCATCGCGCAACTAACTAACGAAAACAAAAATTGTTAGGAAGAAGATATCCCAGGTCGATTGAAATAAACCACAATAAATTCTCATCGCTATTAAGAAATTCCTTCCCTTAAATACAGATTTCATCTTTCTTTTCGGTGTCCGGTTTGCTATCAAAATTTGTTGGCTGAAATTTTCCAATTAAGCTTCTTTTGGACAGGTTTTTGCCATAGGAAATGTAAATGACATAATTACGCGAGCGTGCGTTCGGTGCCGAACGACGAAAAGTGAAAAGATTCTGAACACCGTTGATGAGGTTGGTTTGTTCTGTTTTCTTTTTTTTTTTAAATATATATATAATTTTAGAGATGATTGTGACGTAGAACATGGTATTTGGAAATTGAACGAAGAAAAGCAATAACGTATTTTGTTTTGTCGACCATATGCACTGGATAAATTACGTCACGAACATGGTCTGCAGCGCACGTAAACCAGCGATCAGACTCGAATGAGAGGCGAAAATCAACTTCGGCGCTGTGTTGTCTCTCAGGGAGCAGTAACTCTATTTTCGTAATGTCCCTTAGTAAGATGTCTCCACAACATGTCTCTCCCGTGCGCGTGTCGCTTGCTTTCTCCCGAGTTGACCTTTTTCGGGCCAGAATATTTGAGAAAAAGGTGAGGTATTCTCATAAGAACGCATACTTTAAGTCTAAACGTAGCAATTTCCAATCCTTTGAAATAGGTTTAAATAAAACATTTCAGTCGCCTTGATTGACACTCTATGAAATAAAGACAACAGTGCTTACAGAAAGCAATAATGAAACCCCAGAAAGTCCTTCTGGACACCATCTTCTTGTTTTCAGCAATTGGCTGAGGAGAAGTTTGAAGATTGAGTTGAGTTTAAATAATATAATCAAATAAAGTAAAATGATCGGGAATGTATTTAATTTATCTGGTAAAATCCCCTTGTATGTTCTTAGAATCCTACTGGAACTTCTCTGAGCCACATACTACACATTTGACAATAAGAACAATTTGAATGATTATAATATTATGAAATTATCCTTATGCCAGAAAAGAAGGGTTGTAAATAAATTATTTTTATGTTTACTTCTCCCCTACCTTTGCAATTACATTTTCCTCAATGACGTAATTCTTAAGGAGGTTTTTTTCTTCAGTTTTTCTTTCTTTTATTTCCGCTTCTCTGTATGAGCCAGAAAGAACGTGTCGCGGTAAACAGTTCACCGGATATAAAAACGCGAAAATGTTGTTATTGTTATAATCGCGGCGGAGAATGTCTAAATAAATATTAACAAGTAGTATGGAAAATATCAGGAATCAATGGAAAAATTCTATTTTTCCCTTTTTAAGGTTGCGCAGTATTTGATGTCAGACCTGAGTAACTATGAATTTTTCATCGGCTCTTTAAGAAGACTTATGTAGTTATTCATAATTGCAATGTTTACATATTGAGGTTGCAAAATACAAGTTTTTTTTTTCATAAAGTCGAAAGATCCGCCCTTAACTGGGTTCTTTTGCTGTCAAATTTCACTGACGTCTGATCGTATCTTTTCGTGTATCGACCTTTTAAGTATCAAAAAGAAGTAAATACCTGAAATATATTTCCGCTGCTCCCTCACTTCGATTCAGATCGAATGCCCTATAACAGCGACGAAGTCATATAAAGAAAGCCGGCTGCATACAGCTTTTTCAGATCATTATCTTAAAATGAAATTCTTATGAAAGAGTTTTCTATTAACCTCAAGTCGTTATGGACAACGTCCTCAAACATCCGTCCCATAACGTCTGCAATTATGCCTTCAGCCAGTTTTTCATTTCTACGAACATTTCAAGGCAAAAGGTCAACTCCGGGAGCGCACACAGAAAAGATACAAAAGCCAGTGCTTCAAAATAGTTCAAATACATCCGGCCCTCGGCGCAATAAATGCAAATGCTTCGGAACGCACTTTTCAGTATATTTCAATCTTGTGTTCCCTCTAAACAACATACCTTCGCCTCTTGGAAGATTTATGGAAGGGCTGAACATCACAAAAGAGAAATATTATACAAAGATGCATGTTTTGTCATCACCGTCAGAAAGTTTACGATGGGGAAAAGTGATTGAATGTTTAATTTATTTCGCCTACCTAGACTAACAGATACATGGGAAGTGCTAGAATGAGAACAGACGCCGTTGAATTATCATACATGGGTCCTAAAACTATGATAAAACATACCGTAGACACGTCCAATCCAACGATTTGTCCAGATATCACAGGCCTCCTTAGTCGTGCTTAACTTCAAGAGACAACTCAGCTGCAAGAAATTGGCAACAAATCTAGCTGGATTAACATAATTCCACCAAATAAAGGCAAGAGTTTTATGGGAAAAGTATCACTGAATTTATATTAACTTATAAGGGAATTGATCGCTCCTATATAAGAAATTGAGTTTAATCAATTACTAGCACCTTTCCTTCCTATGATGTAACATCAAACAGTATGGTAACCTCCATTTGTAAGGAGTTACACAAGAAATTAATTGCAAGTTTATTTTATATATCAAGGTGAAGTTCTATGAAGCCAAAATATTTTCATCATAGTCAAAAGCCTGCGCAAATAGGATTCTCCTAAAAGTAAATAGTCAATCTTTTGATGCGATCGTTCTTTCAAAAATGTTTCTTAGCCTTTCTGTTTATGCCGCTAGTATTTGTGACCTTACCAAACTTTGCAAAGTTTGTAAAGAAGATTTTTCAATATAAGCTACATATCAGTTGATTATGTTATTCAAGAACTTAAAGGAAAGAGAGACCACTGTCTTTTTATAATGAATTAAAACACGAGGATTTCTTACTTTATAATTTTCATCCTAGTTCTGAAGAATCACTGATATGTGCGTTTTATTTAAAAAGCAGTAATAATAATAACAATAATAAAGACACTAAAAAAGATATGTCCACCTTCCAAGCAGATCCTGTTTAAGATCAAAGCTGTTTTAATAAATTCACTTTTAAGTATAATTTAGTCATCATTGTGAAGTCTTTGATTGCTCATATTTTTTTAATTTTAAATCCTTCTATTTGTTTGAAGTGGAACATCTTGATATCATTATGAATTGTTAATATTATTATCATTGTTATTATTACTCTATATTTTCATTAATATTGTCACTGGTAGTTTGCTGAAGGCTTACACAAGCAACTTCTAAGATAGAAATCATGCTGGTCGAAGTTTAATGTCGATGTGCTTTAATCAATAATCCTGTCCCCGAAATGGTTGCCATCGTCAGCAGCGATTGTCTCATGCACTGCCTTACTATTTTTGGTCAAAAATTCCAACAGCAATAAAAATCTGCAGCAGTATTTTTTATTAAATGGGTGTAACCTTTATCACGATAGCGAGTTTCGTCAACCCAGTTTGTGTGATGACGTTTGTTTACTGGAACATATTCACCGTTGCTCGTTCGCACGCGCGAAGAATTAACTCTCAATCGACGCAATGTGATCCTGTAGGATCGGGACACTCCAAACGAAGGTTGAAGCGGGAACTTAAAGGAGCAAAGAGTTTGACCATCATAATGGGCACCCACCTTCTCTGCTAGTGCCCGCTGTTTGTTTTTTATCTTGTGTACACGTACATGTCTTTACAGGTAACAAAGACATTTACAGTTATTGATCGTGTTATTCTCTTTCTTCGATAATGTAATTCGCTCTTTAACCCTATTATTTACAGTGGTATCAACAGACAATTTCGAGCCGGCATTAAAAGATTTCTGTTACGTAGAAACGAGAGCAAAGAAGAACTCCAAACAACGGCTGCCACCAGAACGTAAAAGAGACATGATAAGATGGCTTACGTATCTTAAGCATTTCGTAAAGATTTTATCAAATCGATATCGAGATTTTAATCAATACCAATCTTCGATGTGTTTTCGTCAGAATCCTACTCTGGCCATGTTGGAGATTGTTTCTTGGAAAGTGGGAGGCTGCCTCCTTACTTAGAAGCAATTTTCTGGGTCGAGAAAAAAATATATATTCCAAACAGCAATTTTGCGAGTGGCTCGACGTGTTTAA